CCTCCTCAAGGACCTAATGGTTGGTCCTTGGGGAGTTTTTCCCATAAGTTTACAACCAAAATATATACATACACATGTGACCACTGCCTCACATAGTTGAGGCTTGTTTTGACAACTTTTGGCTAGGAGTTGGGTCCTCCTCAAGGACCCATTGGTTGGTCTGTGGGGAGTTTTTCTCGTACATTTCCAACCAAAATGTAGTCGTACACATGTTAAAGACCCATCACATTAATTTAATCCAAAACAAACACATAAAACTTAATGAAACACACTAAGACATACAAGCAGGCTTCAAGGCAAACCGTTCTAACGTCATGGCGGTTCTTGGACGTTTTACATCCAAACTTCACCAAACTTTAGACACTGCCTCAAAACATTATTATAAACAGTTTTAGGACTTTAAAAAATTATGAACAAAGTATTGGTATCTAATTTCACCTAATTTGTTTTAGAGGTGTTACATAATCCTTGGATAACCTTTCATTCAAGGAGTTCTACCAAAGGTTTTCCGAAGAGTTTCTATGATCAAGTTTCTCAATTTCAAATCTAAGTATGGATTCATCATCAAATTATTTTCAAAGACATAATAAATATTAATTAATTTTTAATCAAGGGTTTTAATATGATTTTCAATGAAATTCCTTGGAGAACCCATGATCTCCCTAAACTCTCAATTTAGCCTATAAAGTGGGTGTTGTGAGCTTGATTGTATGTTAATTGAATTAAGCATTAAATTATGATGTATTATTGAATTATATTGCTATATTTACCTATTTATTATGAATTTTTGAGAATGGATCTATGTTTATGATGGCTTGGATAATTGGTAAGTTGACCTAACTTCTTGTCTATGGTATTGAAATTGATCTTGTATGGTTTTATCCACTTATGGTGGATGTGTTTAATTCTTGTCTATCTATACATATGGTGATCATGTATTTGAGTTGAGGGAAATAGATTTAAAGTGAATTGTTATTATGATGAACATGAGTATGAAGATATTCCATGAAGGTTATGTATGAAATGCTCAATGCTAGCATGATGTTTCAAGTGTTTTGATGATGAGGAGTATAATGTGAATGATAATTTTAAGGATAAGGTGTGGTATACATGATTGATTATGTTAAGTAATATTGTGAAATTACCCATACCTATGTGACCCCTATATGAATGTGTGATTATATACATGTTGGGAGTTATATATTCAAGTTTGGAATGAGTCTATGTATCCTATGATAAAGGGTGGGTGTGTGGTCTAGAATTCCTAAATGCTCTATATATGAGTTGTTCATGACTTGGAGATATTTGAAATATGTTGTGATCCTTTGAAGGAAGTTCCCTCAATACCAATGTTGTTTCTATTATGTCATTATGAGGACCTATATGTACACACACCCCATGCATAACTATGAGTATGATATATTTAGGGTGTTGATTAAAACTATAATTCTTTTATGCATCTTTATATCTTATTATGCATGAAAAGTATATGACTAGTAAAACATGAATATGCGTTGTCTAAAAGTGTTTATGTGAAAGATATTCTCATACATACGCACACACATGAATGTATGAATGAAGAAGGTAAATGATAATCTAGTGAATGAGAGTCTTTTGAAAGGTTTCCTCAATTGTACTCTAAAAAAGACTACGTTATGAATGATATGATTATGTAAAAGGAATTCTGACATGAAGTTGGTTTTTATGAAAGGAAATTCTCATTATATAAACTATTATCTATGTACATGTTATATGAGGGGTTAAGCCCCTATGGCATATATTGTGACTATATGTTTAGGAAATACTTAAAGGATCTTCAAAAAGGAAATTTAGCTTAACACTGAGTGAACTTGACAATGAGAGGTGTTCCTTCACAAAGTAATGAGGTTCACCTGATATTCTCATGAGGTGGAAACTACAATGATAATTAGCATAAAGGCAGTTTCTTGTAACAACATCCTAATTCCTTGACTATGTGCCCACATATAAACCTTAGCTAGTGGATCCACCTAGATGCTATTATGAATGTTTATTCCCTACCTTGGAAAGTAGAACACGCTCTTTCCAAAATGTTAGGGGTTGAAACCGGATTTTATGTAGCTCACATGGTCTACGTCATTTATGGAAAAGTTTTCTGAATGGTAAAATGACTAGATGAAAGTAAGAAGATAAACACTAACTAGAACTACTTAAGAGATGTTACTTATTGTAGGTTAGGGAATGAGACTTTACCTATATATTGCATAAGTGCCTCTTGAGAGGAGTTCTAGGGTGGGTTCTTTATGTATGTATGTATGTATGTATGTATGTATATATATATATATATATATATATATATATATATTATGAATGACATTATGGTGTTAATATACTTGTTATAAATAATATGCTTGATTTGTTTTCATTTGATATACATGATGGTTGGTCTCACTTAGCATGCATGTTGTTGGCTATACTTGTAATGATGATGTATGAGGTATAAGACAATGCTTGCGACCTGCTTGTTGGTTTTCTTAGTTTGTGTGGGGTTATGGGACTTCACATACACATTGCACTAGTGGACTTGGTTTGGGGTTATGAGTAATGTCTTGTGATGTATTTATGAAATGAACTCTAAATATGTGATATTGTTTATGGTTTTATCATGATGTTACTTATAGTATGGACTTGTATAATGATCTTGGAGTGTGCATAAAGATTAAATGGTCTATGACTAAGATGTAATAAATGAATGAGTTGTTATATGAAATTAATGAAGTATGTTGGTCTTATGTTTAAAGTTAAATGATTATGTTGTGACTTGTTGAATATGATGTGCCTAGTTTAGGGTGACTTTATAGGAACACTTGGTGTTAATAGTATTATGAGATGATACTTGCACATTGCACTAGTGTGACTTGGGGTTGTCTTAGGTGATGGTTCTTATGTGAAGGTTATGTTTATGATATAGTTGTTCCCTTATCAATGTATGTTGTTAAATTGATGAAGTTTGAATGAATGTTCACCCTTGGTGACATTAAGGTGATACTTTAGTATAAATGGTGGAATGAGACACTATTCATACATTGTACTAAGTATTACTTAAGGGTATCTTGAGGTAAGGAGTTGAGGTAAAAGCAAAGTAATGTATTGGAGATACTAAACGTGTCTTAAATGTGATAAATGACTCTACGTGTTGTGAATGATATCCAAGACTATTACGATGTATGTGAATTATATTGTGTTTATAAGATTAAATGTTCATGCAGTTTCTCTAAAATGATATGTTGTATAGTTTTCAACTAAATTTCCTCTTTAAAGCATGTTTTTTTCATGATTATCATACTCATTTCATTCTTGTACTAATACCATTTTCTTCATATTTTTACACCAAGTGTAGGTGGTGGCGGCTAAAGGACCTTTAATACAATAAAGAGTTTGGATTAATGTTCCCAAGTTCGGGTGTGTCCTTAATTATTCAAGGACATTTTTGTTAAGAGTTTCTTTAAGTTCATGTAATAGACTAGTAATGTTCCTTTTTATTATAAGGGCCGTGTCTCTATTATATTCAAGTCGTGTCTAAGATGGCAAGATGAGACTTAGTATCCTAACTTTGTATTAATGGTTTTTAAATGAGATGGCTTTTAGTCTTGTGTTATATTATGAAAAAGGTTTAAGTTTTCGCACTATTTTATGACAATGCGATGAATGACTTCTAAGGGCTTGTATAATACCTCCGAGAGGTCGAGTACACCGTGTTATGACTAGGGGGTGCTCTAGAGTTGTGACAGAAAGTCAATATACTAGAAGTGTTGGAGGGGGTGTAAAGATGTGGAATTACAGATGAAGGAGACCTTCACTTCCCTTGAGTGTCGGCTTATGGATGCATTAAGAATAATTGAAACCGTGAAAGCTAAGATGACAGTGCTTATGGAGAAATTAAAGCTAGACGGTTTGCGAGACCAAGATTAACACTCCAAAGACTTTTGAATTCAAAGGTGCTTGTGGCGCACAAGAGGTTGGATAATTTCGTTTGGCACTTGGAGAATTACTTCAAGTCTAATAAAGTGAACAATGATGAAAACAAGATTAACACAACTATGTTGTACCTATCAGAGATGGTCATGTTATGGTGGAAGTTATTAATGAAGGGGGTTTGTAACATCAACACATGTGAGACACTTTGAGTCGAGTCCAAGAAAATCTTCTTTCCTAATAACGTCATCTATAAAGCAAAGCACAATTTTAGAGAATTGAGAATACCGGCAACATATGAGCATATGCAAAAGAGTTTACTACCCTAATGCTTCAGATACCCAACCTTACTAATGAATATATGATGCTCCACTTCATGGATGGGCTGTAAAATTGTGTCAAGATTGAGTTGGATTGTCGACAGGTTAGGACTGTTGATGAATCCATCAAGCATGACGAAGCTTTAACATACTTTAGGAATGAAAAGAATGACAAATTCTATGGAAAAGAGATGAGAAGTAGTCATGACAAAGGTGGAGAAGATCGTAGCAAAATAAAGGAGAAACAATCCAATCTAAAAAATCATGACACCTACAAGTATGATGGTAAAAAGTTTGGATGCCAGAGCTATGATAAGAGGAAAGTGCAGACCATAAAGGGACACAATTGCCACAAATGTGGTGGGCTAAATTTCTATGCAAGGTGTCGTTAAATGAAGACTCTAGAGGCATCTAACGAGAATGGAAGTGAGAAAAATGCTCAATAGCAAGGGTAAGGATCAATAACGATGTAGTTCAACATGATCAATGCAGAGTTGTAATGACCCTGAACGTCATTTTTTTGGAATTCTATAAAGTTACCATTTTGCCCCTCCTTAAGATATGAAAACCTAAAGAAGGAAACACTATTTAGAAAAATATCATTTACTTAATTGCCTTTTTTTCTCCACTACAATTCAATAATTCTTTTTCTCTCTATTCTCATTTTTTCCCAAATCTTAGTTTGATTGTTTTATTTTTGTTGAATAGTTATCTAGGGTTTTTTTAATGGCGCCGGGAGAAGCACCATTGAAGAGTTTATGGGTGGGTAATCTTGCCCCTGACATGACCGATGAAGATCTGGTATCGTTGTTCCAGAACTTTGGCCCAGTTAATAGCATAACTAGATGTAACTCTCGCGGGTATGGATTTGTCTTATTTGGAAACATCCACGACTCCAAGGAGGCTAAAGACGCACTCCAAGGATCCTTCTTTCATGGCAATGCTTTAAGGATTGAATTCGCTAAGCCGGTTTGTGTTTTTCTTATTTATGTTTCTTTGTTGTTTGATTTGTATGTATTTTTATTATTTCTTCATAATTATTTGTTGTGTTTTATTAGGGAATTTGTCAATGTTTTACTTTCCAATTATCTAGAGAAATTCCTTGCCTTTCTCCGCACTCTCAATATAAAAAAATATAACAAAATCGTCCAAACGAGATTTGAGATAAAATAACTATGCTTCAAAATAGAAAAAGATGTAGATGAAATAATTATTGTTTTTGTAAATCTGACTATGAATTCCTTTATAACTAGTATGATATATTCCTTTGTAAAAGACTTGTATAGTCGGAACACAAGTATTTTGGATTGAAGCGTATTTAATTGAATGATTATTTCCTTCTAGCACAACTTTTGAGATATTTTTATGGTGCAGACGCAATAATATTGTGTTATCTTAAATCTTTTAGGAGCAAGGGCACTTTCCCAATAGGAGCATTGGTCATCCTAACCCTCTAATTATGCCTCAAGATTTTGTAAGGAACTACTCTCATTCTAGGAATGTTGGCTTCACAAGGCAACATGTAATGCTCCTTTCTCTTTGAAACATTTCTATTTTTTCCCATAGAAGTTGTTTGAGTCTTTTGTAGTGTATGACTATCACCTGTCCTTAGGTTGATATAAAAAAAGAAGAAGTAAGATTAGGTTGTTAACATGGTTCAGTAGTTTGAATTAAGTTTGTAAACTAGTCTAATTTGATAGTTTTCACAAATTTTAAATTAGGTTTATGTAACTCTTATGCCTTCTTTTTTCGCACATGACCACAAATATGAATGAGCTTTCTATGCTACATTGGCAGTATATAATAGTCTATCAATCTACCACGTTAGTACTACACAGAGTTAATCTCTTTCATTATAAGAATAAATTAAAAAAATTAGCAAAAGAATACAAAAGTGATATATTATTTTTAAAATCTAAAATTAATAATAAATAATATTGAGAAATTATAGGTTTAGAAAACATAAAAATCATATTTATATCCTATAGTTATAGTTTGCATAATTGCGCTCCATATCAAATTATGTTTGCTATGATTATTAATATGTATATTTTGATATACTTATACAAAAAGAATCAATTGTATAAGTATATATTTGGAATCAATATGCAAATAAGAAAGTTTTTTTTTTGTAATATCTATGTTTGTATGAAGCGAAAAAGAGAGAGATAAAAGCGAACTAGGTAGGAGAAAATATGCATTGTATAATTATACGTGTATAAGATGAAAAGAATATGTATTTGTATATACAGTTCTCGCTTTGTACAAATACAAACACAATTTGTAAATTTGTCTTTGTATAAAGTGAGTATGTGTGTGAGAGAGAGGCGAGCGAGATCAGGAGAGTGACGAGCGAGATATCTGAGGAATGAGGCGAACGAAACGATAAACATATTTATCTCACTTTATACAAATACAAACACAATTTATACAATTATGTTAGTATTAAGTGAGAGAGGCGAAAGAGAGAGTGGCGAGCGAGATAATTGGGGAGAGAGGCTAATGGCAAAATGTTTGCTATATATTAGAATAAAATGAAACATTGGTTATAACATTTGATTTTAAATAATAGTTTGTTATTTTATGTATTTTCTTAATATTTTTTACAGTTTCTATTTTTCTCTTTTGCAAATGAAAACAAAACATACATCTAATATATGACTCTATTTTGCAATTTATTTTTTACAAAAAATTTTAACAAAAAATATATAAAAATTAAAATATCAAATTTAAGCTTAACTTTGTTTGTTGAATATTTCTTATAATTTCTTCTTTTCAAGGAATATGGAATCTCATACTTTGTTGGTATATAATATAAACTATTTTGGTTATCATGGTGGACTGACTGACTGAGATAATATTTTGTTTTTTAAGAAATAAATCAATCTTTGTGATATCATGTATGCATATATACCATGTGCGTATTACAAATAACTTAAGTTACTAGATATTTTTGTCAGTATAATAGAAACTTATTTTTATATTTACCAAAAAATTAATCATATAGTCGTGTAGTTGTAGAAGAAACACTAATTTTAGTTGAAGAGTTGTTTAGCTAGGCTTGTGAAAAATCACATGACCTATAATTGAAGAATAGCATATATAGATCTAAAAAAGGGTATATTATGATTAATGCGTATGATCTTAAATGTTGCAGGAGAAAGAACCGGAGGTTAAGGATGGACACTATCCCAATAGGAGCATCGACCACTCTCATGATGTATGTAATGCTACTTTTGTATTTGAAATTTTTAGACAAACAATGCAATTTTGTTAATTCTATCTTCTTCTTCTTCTTCTTCTTCTTTTGTGCATGCAGTTGCCTAGTAAAGTATTGTGTATAAGTTATCCTCCCACGGTTCATGTGGATAACAACATGATACATAATGCTATGATTCTTCTGGGTGAGATTAACAGAATAAAAACTTTTAATGATAAGAATTTCTCATTGGTTGAGTTTAGAAGTGTGGAGGAAGCCCAACGTGCTAGAGAAGGTTTGCAGGGTAAGCTTTTCAATGATCCCAGAATCACAATTGAATATTATTATCCATTTCCACCAGCACAGACCATGGCCCAAAATCCGCCTATCTTGGCCCCAAGTGCTTCTATTACAATTAGTCCTGGAAAACACTATATATGGAATGGCAATATTGCCAGGAAAGGAACATCAGTGTGTCGGGCTGTCTGTGTTCCTACTGGGGAAAGTGTAATATGTGTGCTGTAAGTATAATTTATGCTTCCCTTGTTGCTTATTATTTATGCTTTCTTTTTTGATTTAACAAATTTATTAGCCTCTTATTATCATCTTTCTAGAGAATTTTTTTGCTGAAATGGTGGTCTGTGGACTTTTTTTAATCTATATTGTGTCAAGAAAAGATGTTAGAATACAATATATATAAATGTTTCATCTTTTTTTGGTTTAGAAAAATTACTATATAAGTTAACTACATCGTTTTTCTTTTTCCAGCCCTGATATAGTCAACTGCACTGCCAAAACGGGGTTAGAGAAGTTAAAAAAACACTATTCAGATGCTGCTATAGGGTTCAACATTTTTTTCTTCCTGCCTGATACTGATCATAAAGAGTATGCCTCATATGCAGAGTTTTTGAGGTACTTGAGTGCAAAAGATCGTGTTGAAGTTGCAAAGCTTTCTGATGGAACTCACATGTTCTTGGTGCCACCTTCAGACTTCATCAGCAAGGTTCTGAAAGTTGATGGTCCTGCATGTATTTATGGTGTTGTTCTAAAGTATTCACCTCATACAACTAGTGCCACAGTCTTGCCTAAGTAATTTTGACCATCAAGTAATGTGGAAGGAAATGCAAAAGCCTCTGCATCGGGTGTTACTGTTGCACCACAATCTTGGACATATGTTAATCGGAAGACATCATGATGCCGGGATAGCTCATGGAACCAGATGTTTCAGTGTCGTTCTATATAAAACAAATCTCTTTATATATTTCCTTAAATATCATTTCTATTCATTGATAGTGTTTACTCTATTTATGTGTCATTTCCCATAATAGAGATGGAATGAAATAGGTGCTCAATTGTGACATGCTGATCAAAAATTTAATCTTGTAGGATGTATTTGTTAAAGGGCCCTGTATTAGACTGATTAAGTAATTTTCATCACCAATGTTCATTTGAACTCCTTTTCTACAAAGATTCCCACCTTAAGGAGGAAACAGTCATATTCTTAATAAGCAGGATATATACAACTCTTGATGAAGACGTGTAAATAAGTTATTATGCTAGGTGATCTCAATTCATGTATAAGAGAGTGGGCTTGCTCACAAAAGAGCGTTAAAGTGCGTAAAACGAATCTTTGTATATTAAAGTTAAGAAAACCCCAACAAAAAAGACCATATGTAAAAATATATTTCTTTCCTCATTAATTATTGACGTAGATTTTATTTCTTTATTTTAATATCTCTATGTTCGTTGAACCCAATAAAAATTTCATTGGAGGGGGAACTTACAGGAATCTCATTAAGTTAGGAGATAATTACTTAAATCCTTTTTAGTTTGCAATATTACGTATATCTTACTGATACGCTCAAACTTACTTCTCAATAAGAAGTAAAGCGGTCGTATCAAGTAAAGAACCCAACTAATGAGGTTGGGATCGTTCCCACGAGGAAAATAGTTCAGACTTAACTTTAATCTATTATTACTATTATTTAGTCAATTATTTCCTTAGAAAACAAAAGACAATAAAAGCGGGGGGGGGGGGGATTATTTCTAAATTAATGAAAATAACTAACTAAATAAAAGTAAACAACTAACAGATTCAAATCTTGGAACTTAATCAATTAATAAAAGTAACTAGGGTTTAAGTAATCCCCACAGGTTCCTAACTTGATAATTCTAACTATAACAATTCTTTCTTAGTATCTTGTGTGCAAAGTGATAAGTTATGTATTTCTAAATCCATGGTCCGGCATCTAGAAAATTTCACTCCGCACCTTGGTCCGGCTACGTGTGTTGCTATACTAACCCTTACCTTTACCTCATATTAAGCATTGTATTCGATATTTGACTAAGTTATTACCTCATACCAATCGACACTAGCCTATTAGATAGTATACACTAAATCTATGTTCATAATTCTTTTCCTATTATCTACTTCCTTGGTCTGGCAAGTAGCATTAAGGCGAGTTCTAACATTGGTCATTCGTTAAAAAGACTTCGAAATGAAAGAATTATCAATACATGCAAGACACTATTGTCGAATTGTTATCTTAGTTAGATTTTTACCTCATTATTCACCCATAGTTCCCACAACCCTAGTTATGGAGTTTAGTTACCCATAGTAATAATCACAATATTCATATATATATATATATAATATAAGAATTCATGCACTTACTTTGATGAGAAAGAATAAAATCCATAAATTTAATTGAGTAATCAACAAAATCACCAACAATCAATTCCAGAAAAGTGTAACAATCAAAAAGTCTATTATCCAAGAGTCTAATGATCAAAAAGTCCACTATCAAAGAGTTTAACCAACAAAGAGTCTAACCCCCAAAACGAGGTTTTTTGAACTATTTATAAAAAACAAAAACCTAATAAAAGAAGGACTCTAATTATTGAAAATCAGACAAAATGCGGATGGGTCGACGGACCTCTTAACTAACCGTCATGGTCACAACGGGCCGTTGATATGCTCAAACTTACTTCTCAAATAAGAAGTAAAGCGGTCGTATCAAGTAAAGAACCCAACTAATTAGGTTGGAATCGTTCCCACGAGGAAAATAGTTCAGACTTAACTTGAATCTATTATTACTACTATTTAGTCAATTATTTCCTTAGAAAGAAAAGACAATAAAAAAGGTTTTTTTACTTCTAAATGAATGAAAATGACTAGCTAAATTAAAGGAGACATCTAACAGCTTCAAATGTTGGAGTTTAATCAATTAATCATAGTAACTAGGGTTTACGTGTTCCCGACAGGTTCATAACTTGATGATTCTAACTATAACAATTCTTTCCTAGTATCTTGCATGCAAAGTGATAAGTTATGTATTTCTAAATCCTCGGTCCAGAATCTAGAAAATTTCACTCCGCAACTTGGTCCGGCTACGCGTGTTTCTATACTAACCTTTACTTTTACCTCATATTAAGCATCGTATTCGATATTTGACTAAGTTATTACCTCGTACCAATCAATACTAGCCTATTAGATAGTATACACTAAATCTATGTTGACAATTCTTTTCCTATTATCTACCTCCTTGGTACGGAAAGTAGCATTAAAGCGAGTTCTAACGTTGGCCATCTGTTAAAAAGACTTCTAAGCGAAAGAATTGTCAATACATGCAAAACACTATTCTAGAATTGTTATTTTAGTTAGGTTTTACCTCATTATTCAGCTATGGTTCCCACAGCCCTAGTTATGCAGTTTAGTTACACATAGTCATAATCACAATATTCAAATATATGATATAAGAATTCATGCACTTACTTCAATGATAAAGAGTAAAATCCAAAAGTTCACTTGATTAATAAACAAAAATCACCAACAATCAATTACTACAATTAATTGAAGACTAAAGATTCTCCAAAAGTTTAATAATAATCACCAAGTCTAATCCACAAAAGAATCTCAAAATAACCAAGAGTCTAACAAAGTGTCTAAAAGTAATCAAGAGTCTAACCCCAAAAATGAGGTTTTTCGAACTATTTATAAAAAATAAAAACCTAATTAAATAAGGACTTTATTTCCTGGAAATCTGTCAAAACGCGGCTGGGTCGACGGACCTCGCGACGGATCGTCATGGTCACAATGGGCCGTCATGGACTCCGTCATCCCATACTTGTTCAATTTTTTCTGCTGCTCTCTTCATCACCCTCGATAGAAGGTATGAAAGATCGTATAGGCACAACGGTCCGTCGGGGGTCTCCATTCCATAACACTTGAACTCTTGAAAATTGGGTACTCTGACTACTTCTCTGATCTTCATGATGAACCAGTAGGATGGACCGTCATGGATACGACGGTACGTCACGCACTCTATAACCCCACAGTTGGTCAGACTTCCCCATCTTCCTTCAGCAGATGCACTACGATGCCACCTACTGACTGTCACTGTCATGACGAACCATCACAAGCTCCGTAGGTGGTACTTTTTTGTATTCCTCGCTCAAAAACCTCCACATTCATCTTGTAGACAAATTTCCTGCAAATAAAGAGAAACTTACATAAAAATTAGTACAAAAAGGCTTTTGGACACACTAAACTTAAGGAAAAAGTATTACAAGCACCATGAAACAACGGTATATCACCACCCTCAACTTAAATTCGTTGTTTGTCCTCAAGCGACGCACTATGACTCAATAAAAAATCTTTGTACAATAGTATCTATGTTTTATCCTTTGCAATCATTTGTCTCTCAATCCCGATCAATGTCATCGTATTTATACATGCTATCACTATAGGCTTGAATTATGTGAAATAAGACTATGACACAAACTCACCATGCACTAACACCTATCCTCTTCATTTTTTTATCGAGGTGCTACTATTTCCGGTATTTCAACTAGTGTCCTCACTTAAAAACAAAATCCTCATTTTACACACACTGATATCAGTTTGAGTATAAGGATTACTTTCAACACTCACTCTCAGAACAAATTCACACTCATTTATACATATTGCCATAAACTTTCCCTTATTTTCACTGCTTTAAGTTCACTATACAACTCTTAGGATCACGATAGGACTTTCTTAGCTCGTAACATAGGCTCAGGGTCAGGAAGGGTATATTTAGGTATACTTTAGTGACTTTTTTTACCCTCCTTGACATATCGGCTAAACATACCACTTTTTATCATTTTATCTCGCCCAGTTTATCATATTCTTTAACCTTGCTATTTTCCTTTCTTTCTTCATTTGTGTATGTGACTCTCTTCTTTTATTGCTTGTATTTCTTTAATTTTTTTACTTTTCTTTCAACTGATTCTTGAGTCACTTTACTTTTGTTATTTCTCGCTCTTTGTTCTTTCAACCCCACTTTCCAGAGCATTCCTCATAATAGCCACCCTCAATTCATGGCTTTGCCATGAGTCAAAGTACAAAATACCCAAAGTTGGGTCAGGGCCATAAAAAATGGTTGTTTACTGCATTACGATCCTCAACTTATGCTTTTTGCATAAGTTGAGGTACACATGTCCAAGGAGGGACCAGGAACAACACATTATTCTCAGAAAAGATCAGTTGGGGTGAAAAAGAAAGGTCTAGTTTAAGCTCAAGTCATTTGTATCAAAGAAGGATTAATTTCATTTGGTTTTCTTTTACATAGGCTAAAAATGGGCTATATTGAACAAGGTCCTATGATCCTTTTCTAATTGTTTATTACAACTTACTTTTAGCAGGACTAACCAAGAAAGTTCTAGCTCAGTACAAATAGTGGACTATTCAAATCTTCCTCACACTCACTTGACATCTCATTACTTTACCAGATTATCAGACGCCTAGTTTGAATTTTAAACTTAGGGTCATGCAGTGGTGTACCTCTATGTCATGCTTAGAGACACACATTTATAAATTAGTATGCCTAGTAATGCATCATTTTCATTTTATCAGGATATCATTTTAGCCATCATGCTTTAGAATTAAACTATGTACACAAAATATAGACACGCCGGTTCAACATAAAAAATAATCAGTCTCTTGGGGAAAAAGAATAGAGGCAAGAAAACTCCAAAAGAGGATAGTGAATTGGGCTACTCAGACTTCACACTAGCACTCACTTTCCATTTACCATACCCCCAAAAAAAAGA